GTCTGTCTGTCTCTCTCTCTCTCTCTCTCTCTTTCTTTCTTTCTCTTTCTTTCTCCCTCTCTTTAAATTTTTCTCTCTTTTTCCAGAACATTTTTCTCTCCTATCTCTTTCTCTTTCTCTATCTATCTATCTACCTATCTCTCTCTCTCTCTCTCTCTTTCTTTCTCCCTTTCTCTTATTCTCGTGCGTTTCGTAGATAAGCAACACAGCTTTTCTTGGAAAACGCTCGTTTCACAGGATTATAAATTACTGTCTTACGTCGTTGTCAAAGCGTTAAAGCGTACGAGGATGTTTTCACGAACGCGTCGACTTGGAAGAAATAGAGATTCGTTTCTCTCTCTCTCTCTCTTTCTCTCTCCCGTTCCCTCTTCCTCTCTTTTCTTCTCGACTCTCTGAGGTATAGTCGAGACTTCCTAATGTAAAGATAACGTAAGAACCAGCGTCATAGCGAGTTCGCGTTAGACTTATCTGTACTCGGGATATAAACCGCATCTGCTTATAGTCACGCTCACGATAAATTCCATTTAAAAGCTCAATAGTAAAGCGCCGTATCGTTGTGGAATTCACTTTCTTATAGTAAGCTACATCTACTCAGTGATTATAGCCAACGACATGCACACCTTCTTTCTCTCTCTCTCTCTCTCTCTCTCTCTCTCATTCTTACTCACTAGAGTCATTATCGTAATGCCAATCTATAATTGCTAACTGAACGACTCACGCACGTGTCCACCTATAATTTTAACCATGTTAATGATAACGTATGGATTAGTTCCAAAATTATACGACACTTGAATTTATATTTAAATCAAGAGATATTTCATTACTACAATGTAATATGTAATAATTACAATTTTTTTGTATATCCTTGTTTACGAACAAACGTGAAAGTATTTATCCATTGAATATATTCATTGATCATATGTACATATTATTTATAGGCTTGTATGTAATTCATTAAAATTATGTACACGAAAAACGTATATTTACGTCACTACGTAATTTTTGTTTCTTTCCTCTCTCCACCCTCCCCGAAATAAATATAGTCCGATATATCACGTCAATTAATACAGAGACTGAACATCGCATTTTTTAATTATAATGTAGAACCCATTAAGAGGTCATCTATGAAAGGTGATAAGTAAATGATCTTCGTGATCTTACACCAACAGTCTAGAGAGTTTATCGTTGAAAAGTTCAAAGGATGACGTAATAAGAATGTCGGGGGAAACGTGGTAAAGTAATACCCTAATTACCGGACGATTAACTCGGACGTCGATGTCGCTCGATGTTGAGCGGACTCAACGCGACGGAGGTCGACCACTCTCACTGCGATCCTATCCTATCGGCTTATTAAGTTGCTACCACGAAGTAGACTGCAGGCACGGGAGCAGTACTATAATTCCCTGGGTTATACTGTACTTTAGATGGTACTAAAGTCCCCTATCAGACCGCGCAAAGCGAGTGGATAAGTAAGAGAGCGAAGTCGAAGGGAAAGCTAGACTATGCGCGTGCATGTATCTGTGTATGTATCTATGCGCGCTCCGTTATACTAGTGTCCGTAACTGTGTGTGTGAAAGAGATAGAGATAGACAGAGAGAGAGAGAGAGAGAGAGAGAGAGAGAGAGAGAGAGAGAGAGAGAGAGAAAGAGAGAGAAACGGAAAGAGAAAGACGAGAGTCTCGTTTTCGATCTCTTTCTCCATCTCCTATCCACTCGAGCTCCTTCGGATAGAGAGACGCCGAGATAAATTGTTTGCCGGTGGGTTTGCTGCTCAAAAGTTTCGCGATATTTCCAACGTTAGTTAAAATTAGTGGAGTTTACCCTGAACGAAATTCTGATAATGCTATCTCTCGTGTCGTGCGACGAGCTTGGTCACTCTCTTTCTCTATTTCTCTCTTACTCATACAAGCACAAACATTCCTTATCTCTATATATGTTATATATGTAACTTTAAATGTACGCGTCAGCTCGTACATGCCTGTCCTCGGGTTACAAGTCTCTTCTACCTTCTCTAGTTCCTCCGTTTCTATCTTCATTCCAGGAAGCTTCTCTTCGCTTTAATTTGGATGAAACAGCGTCCATATTTTTTTCCTCTTTTTATTTGACCATCCGGCACTCGAGTACGCTAACACCTTTGGGAATTCGAGGGCCTTTAATTATGGCTAACGATTAAACTTTGGTAATTATCACGGCGATGACGTTGAGTACGGAACGAGTCAACATCGAAGACTTTTTTAAACGAGAGATAGAAATGAAAAAGATATTCGATCCCAGAGATAGATGCTCTTCAAGTGGAATCAGGAAAGATAATCCTACGGAATAAGCTATCATGCTTCTTTTTATGTCGATACCAGATTATCGATTCCCTTAAGAGATTTCACTAAGCTACCAAGATAAATCTTATCTTTGATAATTAAGATTCTTTTTTTTTCCTTCCATATTCTTTATATTATTCGACTCTTTTGAATGAAATATATTCAGATATGAAAATAACTATCTTAAATCTTAATCTTAGATATAACATTGTATTACGTATATCGATCGAATAAGGAAGAACTCATCGGATATATAATAACTAAGGATTTATTTTATTACAATAGTAATATTTATCAAATTGGAATAGTTACTTTTTCGTTTTATTATTATTTTTTTTTTTTTTTTTTTTTTCAAATAAAAATGAAGTGAATCGACGAAAGACCCGGAAAGATTACTTACACAGGATCCTATTGGACTCGGATAAAACTTCTTTAATTATCGTCGCTCCAATTTTCCGCCCTCCGTCGAGGAAATGCTTAATGGAAGAAAACGAAGGGATCGCTCGAAACTATTAGTAGAAAACAGAAACGATTTAAAGAGTTCTCGTGATTTATATAAAGCTATACCGTAGGAAACAATCGCGAAGCGAGAAGAAGGAATCTCGTTAACGAAGGAATAGTATTTTACGAATAACGACGACTCGATTTTTCAAACTTGCTATAATCGTAACCATTCTTTCGTTTCATATTACAATTGATATATCAAATGTCTTCATTTGAACTTTTTACTTTTTACTTTTGAAAGAAATTTTAATTAGAGACAGAATAATCGAAAGGACATATTATTTTTATTACCAATTATAAAATTGAATTAGTAATTTTATCTCTTTTCTCTTTTCTTTCTTTTTTTCTTTTCTTTTTTTCTTTTGTTTTTTTTTTTTTTTTTTTTTAATACAAACAATAACAACAATCCTTCAATTTGAACACGAAGAAGTTACAGCAATAAGAAGTTACAATGAACAAATAATTCGATTTTTTTGATATCAGGGTGTGAATAAAAAAGAAGAGAAGGATCAAAAGAAAATTATGTAATAAAAATTCCAAGAACGTAAGATAACCATACGAGCTACGAAGGTACTCGAGAAAGGTAAGCTCGACGAGAAAGTTTTCAGCTTTCCAATGGCGTGTCATGAAAGATCCTGATCCGAGATTGAATCTAAACAAGCGTTTCACGACGTTCGACGAACTAGAAAAAGGAAAAGACAATGATGTTGATGGCATTGAAAACGAGACAAAAATTGTCGAAACTTTTCTAGAATCGAATACTATAAGGATATTATTCTTTTTTTCTTTCTTTTTTTTCTTTTTTTATTTCCCTTTTTTTCTCCAAGTGCTGACAAAGTTTTCTACTTTCCTCTCGTCTCGCACTCGACAGAGTTTTTCTACGATTTTTCAAGGATGTCTGAATTCGCGAAGAACGCAGGGTACTCGTCGTTTCCGTCCTCTTTCTCGTCGTTGACGACGACGACGACGACGACGACGACGACCACGTACGTGGCTGCAAAATGCATTTGCGTTTACTCTGACAACGAGCAGGGTCGTAAAGGATTGCCTCAGACTCTCTCTCTCTCTCTTTCTCTCTCTTTCGCGCGCATACACATATACACGTTTCTATCGCAAGCTCCAAAGCTCTCGTCCCATCGTCAAACCACCCGAATCCAACAAACTTCTCTTCGTATTGCAACGTACAAGCCTTCAAACGCGTGCTACGTCTAACCGACCACACGCTCACTCAAATGTGACGCCTATATATATATATGCATGCACACAGAAAGAGATAGAGAGGTAAAGAGAGATAGAGATAGATAGATAGATAGATAGAGAGAGAGAGAGAGAGAGAGAGAGAGAGAGAGACGTACATATTCGACAATAATTCACCTAATTTCGTCGCATGAGAGCAAAACCGTAGATTATATGTTCGCGGAAAGCTAGTTATCGGATATCACAGAAATTTCACGCATTTTCGGTGCTTTCAAAACAACAACCAGATCGAACTGACATTTCTAATCGAAAAAGATATCGATAATCTGACATTATTTGTCAAACTCAGTCAGCGTGCCCTCATCTCGTTTTTAACAACGTCTTCTCTACGAAAAAAAAAGAAGTTCCAAATTAAACGTATACTCGTTTTGCTCCAACTTTATCGTTAGGTCGTTGAACTCGTCTTGACGTCAAGTATGTCACCGAATAAAAATACGTAGTTCTGTGTATAAAAATAAATGGACTTCATCGATAACTCGTTTAAAATAACACCGATCAAATTTTTGTAGTCCATCATAATGTTTATCCGCTTATTGTTTGTTTACTGAAATTAAAAAAAAAAAGAAGAGAAACTAAGAGAGAAATCATGTTAAATATTTTTGATACTTGAAATATTAAATATTAAGTAATCGTATGTTATTGAGGTACGTAATAATATTTTCGTAACGGAACGAAAGTATATGATCTCTCGTAACTTTGGATAATATCCTAATTAACACTAATTAAAACTATTCGAATGTGGAATGATTTTGTAGTTATACGAAATTCGGTCAAACTCTACGTATGTAGGTTTCTACGTTAAATCCACTCGGCTAATTGTTCATTGTACATCCGTGAAAAACTCTCAGTTCTTTGCATTACAATAACGATTCTACTCTGATAAATGTAATTGCGAAAGACTGATAACAATTTTAATAAATTTTACCTTCGTTGAAACGTTTCATCCAATCTTCGCCGAAGTAATCTGCAATGAAAAATTAGAAGAGATATTTATTATTAATCATATTTTCATTTCGTTTATTTCAATAATGATTTAACGGTATAACGTTTGTGTCTAATTAGTATCAGACAATTGTTTCATTCTTGTAAATAAAAATTATTAAAGATGATATTAAGCGTTTCATTTGACGTGCCATGAATATTATGTTAACGCATATTCTCCATGGACATATGTAACACGTCGAATAACGAGAGTTATAAACGTTTGAATAACGAGAGTTTTAATATTTATTATACGCATGCTCAGTTACATCCACATACTCGTTCATTTTACAAACACAAAATGATCGAAAAGAGAAGTCCAACAAGCTGCTAAACTTTTACGTTCTCTATCGATACTAACGACTAATCGATAACTCAAACAAAACTTTTGTAAACTAACGACGTACTCGAGATCATTTTTATCATAAATTCGAACGATCTGGATAAAAGTTACATTAAAAATTCTATATTCCGTCCATTCATTATATAACAGCAATTAGAAGTTCCATCATTAAAAAAAATTTTAAATTGTAAAGATGTTTATCGCATGCATTTTTTTCTGTTTCTTTGATCGTAAAAATACAAAAGATTTCGAAAGAATTACTCGAAAGACTTTCCATCACGTTATTTCTCTTTTCTCTCATATAAAATCTTTCATTTTAATCAACTACTACAAATATCTATGGAGCTACGTAGTAAACAAGTATTTCATATAAGCATTATATAAATAAATAAAATGTTTTCTATTTCAGTTGAAGGGAAGAAAAAGCTGCAGATTAATTAAATAACTTTCTTAATACATTCTGTGCCGGCTATAGAATTACTCGGGGAAAGAAATAAAGAAAGGAAAAAAAAAAAGAATTGCCACCCATTTATTTGCCTTTACGTTCTGATAAAAGACGAACGATAGAATCAAAAGAAATAAAAGAAGTGAAAAATGTGTCACCCTCTTTGATCGAACAAGATGCTTCGTCCTTTCACATATATGTATTGAGAAAGATGAGGAGGAGCTTATATTCAATGGCTTGGATTCTGAAGGTACGGTTAACCATAATAGAAAGCTCTCTTTTAATGCTCCTCCGATTATTCTAGGGCGACATGCTGTGCTACCGTTTTCCTAGACTGGATAGCTGCTAAGCTAACTCTCTCTCTCTCTCTCTCTCTTTCTCTCTCTCTCTCTCTCTCTCTATATGTAGTTGGAAAAGTTGGTGTGTATGTTTAGGAGAAGAACGCGTTGGCTAATGTGTGAAAAACAAAAGGTCGAACGCGACCGAGAACACACAACGTGCTTTACAGCGACCGTCACGATGCGAACCAATGGCTCGTATTCAAGTCGTGAGCTTTCTCTTACTACTACTACACTATTACTCCTCCTCCTGTTACTACACTATTACTCCTACTATTACTACTACTGCTACTACTCCTGCCACTACTACTAATATGAAAGCTGTCCTGTTGCTGTCGTTGCTCTTGTCTTTTTTCTTTTCTTCTTATGGAAGAATGGGCTCTTGTCGAGAAATATAACTCAATGTGATTGATTTCTGTAATTTTTAACAATTTTACGAATATTATAAAAATATTAAAATGTATTTTATGCATTATATGAATATAAAGGAATACTAGATTATAATAAAAGTATTTTGAAATATATATATATATATATATATATAACATATATAATATATATAAGTAGATATACATATGTCTATAGATGTCTCTTTTTAGTAAGCTTATGTGAAATCTCAAGAGAAATTCTTTTCTATCCTGAATGTAACTGCAAATTCCACGAGTCGATATGTTTCGATATGTATTGAAAGCTACGTACATTGAACTTTTTCAACAACATTCTCCAATAGTATTGACGTGTGTTTCGATGATCGATGAGCTTACAACGAGTTACCTTTATCGTCATATTTTTTCTATTTGTCCATGTGTATTTTTTGTCCTTTTTTTTTAGTTTTTGTCCTTTTTTTTCTTTCTCCTTTTTTTTTCTTTTTTATCTCAATAAATTCATTCACGATTGATCAATGAATTGTTAATAGATCGTTACCCATTTATTTTCGTTTAAAATGGTAATATAAAATAGATTTTTTTTTCTTCTTCCTCTTTTTATTAACATCTTAGTATTTACATATGTGTCCCGTGAGAGAAAGAAACAAAGAAATGTCGTACTTTATTTACTTTCTTTCCTCGTCGATAAAATATTCATACGATCGTAGAGAGAAAAAATTAAAGCGATCGCTGATTTCAAACAATAGGAAATATTCATCGAGCCATTTCAGTTCTCTGAAAGCAGAGACCTCAAATATTTTCCATGAACCTTCGTTTTTCAAATTTAATATCTACCTATCTATGAACATGGCTCATGCTCGTTCGTAAATAAATTTTCAACATGCGGTTATTCAACAAGTAAAAGTTATAAATTGGTCAAATGTTCCAATCATCAAAGCGAATATTCGATTGAAATTTTTGATCTCGATTTGTAAAATATTGAAGAAAATAAAGTAGAAGAAAGAAAAGATAATGAAAAAAAAAAAAAAAAAAAAAAAAAAAAGAAAGAAAAAAAGAAAGGAACGTGCGTAATGCACTGTCACGATTCGTTTACACTTCTCGAACATCTTTTCTATTTCTCCCTTTTCTTTTCTTTTTTCTTCACTTTCTTTTCTCTCTCTCTCTCTCTCTCTCTCTTTTTCTCTCTTATCCTTTCAGCTATCCATCTTTCTCATTCTTCATGTTGAGAGACTAAAAGAAAAAGACGACGTGAGATACAAGAGAAAAGTGAATAGGAGAGCTCGTTTGTCACGGCTTGTTGTGCATTTTCAATTCGAGCATAATAATTTTGCAATATACGTTCGCGGCAAATAAACCTTCAACTACAATTCTAATTTTATATACGTAAATACAAATATTAAATCAATGTCGCCATTAATTTTTATTTTTCTGATAAAAGTTACATGTACATATGCGATCGCGTTCAGCCAGTTTTCAAAATATTTTTCTATTTATACGATGAGTTTACTCATTTTCAACGAACGAATCTTTTTTCATCCGGACGAATTAAATATATATCGAACACAATGTATTCCATAAAAACAGAAAACCTTTGTTTCTTTTTGTGTTTTTACAAAAAGCGTTATGACTATAGACAATAGGGGAAATAGGATGAATCGATTACAAAGTGGTTAAATAACACGCTCAACTAGTAATCTGTAACAAATATAGATCAATGTAGCACTTGCAAAGTGTATTTCGTGTCATCGAAATAGTTTTGTCGGTACGACAAAGTGTCCTCTTATATTTCGGAGATATAAGGACCGCACTATTATGATGGTTTTAATAACGTCCTACGAAAATACCCATGGAAAATAGTTTTGCTTGAACGTACACAACAACGGACCGTTTAATGGAAAATACTAGCACGATTTGAGAACCGATGAAAGGCAATATTGAAAGAGAAGGAGAGAGATAAATAGAGACAAAGAGATGGAAAGAGAGAGAAAGAGAGTATGCGTGTGTGTGCGTGTGTTGCATGCGACGAGGAAAATGAATCGCCTATGGAATTTGATGTCCCTTCGACCTCGGTGCCACGAACTTTTAGCCTCTGGGGTAATCGGGAATGCATGTCGCCTGTAAGCCACTCGAGTTAGATACGTTTCCTGTCCTTCGAAAAGCTGCAAGAGTAACGATAGTGCAGACTCAAATGATTTACGCTAGCCGTGCTTTATCGTTCGGCTAGCACGATGTCTAGGCATCGTATGGATGCAGCGCTGGACCATTCTTTTTCTTTTTCTTTTTCTTTTTTTCCCTATTTTTTTTTCTCTTTTTCTCTTTTTCTTTCTACGTACACATACACCATCTATATAGATACGTAAGTACTATTCGCTCGTCCCTTTTTATTCGGTGCCCCGCGGTCACGTTCTAAAACTTTTATCGAGAGCAACCCTTCTACCATCCTTTTTACATTCCATTCGCGAAGAAGATACGCGGAAAGAGCTTGTGTTTCGTGGAAACTCGAGAGAATCTCCTCTCCACTTTCGTGCCACAAGATGATTTTAACAGGAAAGTACGACGAAATGGTGAACGATGTTTCTTTTTTCTTTTTTTCTTTCTTTCTTTTTCTTTCGTTTTTATTATTATTATTATTATTATTATTATTATTATTATTATTATTATTATTATTATTATTTATTTCCTTCCTTTGTACATGCGTGCATGTGTGTGTGTATATGTCTGTGATGTATTCTTCAAGAGGTGGACTTGAAAAAAAATCTTTTTCAAAGGATCCCTTGCTTTTTCCACGATTATTATACGAAACGAGGTTGAAATATACATCGTATTCTCTCTATTTTATATACGAATATTTTACATATGTTTGGACTTATTTACTTTTTTATAAATATATATATATATATTTTCTAACAAATAGCGTCTCGTAATGACTCGTCGAGAATATTAAAAATTTATTAATGTATTATGTCAGTTCAAAGAATGAATAAATAAGAGAGAAAGAATGGGGGTGAGAGAGAGAGAGAGAGAGAGAGAGGGAGAGAGAGAGAGACAAAATTAACAACGCGACTTCTTCGATGTAATATTAATTATAAGAAGGAACTAACGATCCAACGAAAGCGGCTCATTTTCCTTTCTCTCTATTGTTCGTCTACAACGTCCAATTAACGCAATTTTTCCGCTTCCTTCCAGATTTTTATACACGGACAATCTTGTTCTTGTTGGCGACGAATTATCGACAATGAGAAGGAAAAAATAAAAAAGAAAAAAAAAAGAAAGAAAGAAGAAGAAGAAAGAAAGAAAGGAGAAGGAAAAGAAAAAAAAGAAAAAGAAAAGAAAAGAAGATACTTACCAAACGAAACCTTCCCCTCCCACCCACCCCTTTCTCCTACCTCTTACTTACTATTGTCTTACGTGTATCCTAATCACAGAAAAATGTTTCATTTCTCATAGCGTGTCGACACATTATCTTCGATT